GTTTCGTAAATACGTTTTTTGTCTTCAAATGAAATAAGGTTAACATAGGAATTAAAAAAATTTCAAGGTCATTCTAATAATATTCAAAGATAGAGGTCATTCTAGTCCAAATCTTTGTTTGACAAGGTCATTTTAGTAAACCACCCAATAAATTACAATATATATGTTTAAACCATCATCATGCATCATATTAATCACAATATCTGTATCAAAATATATCAAAAACTTCACCAAATAGTCAAGAGAGCGAAGAAGGCAGTAAAACACTCTGTTTCAATGGAGGCAGTTCAAATAGTCAAGAGAACAAGCTCTATGTTTACGTTCTATTATATAAGCAAGCTTTATGTTTACATTCTACAATCATTAAAGTACACACATTGGTCAGGCTATAACCATGCTAGTACATCGAATAATAAGAAACTAGTTATTCTATACAAACTGTACAAAGATTTTAATAACAAAATCAAATTAAAATACCCAGAAATAACCATTGAAGAAATGGCATAACAGAGAACCAAATCAAATGACAATAACCAGAATACAAAAAGCAATTATTCGAATACACAATCAATCGACAAGAAAGAACACCAACAGATAGAAGGAAACATTTTTAAGCAGCAACAATATCACCATTATCAACGAAACACATAGAGCACAACAATTCAATAGAGAAAAATTGAAATTTACCGAAACCGAAATTAGATTTATGATTAAGGTTGACAAATTCAGATGGAACCTTTTCAATTATGAGAGTACGACAAAGGAAACGAGAAAAATAGTAGACGGCTTCGGTAGCCGGTGAGGAGAAATCTACGGCTGGGTCGGAGAGGACTAGATAATCGGTTTTTGTTTACTCATTTAGTTAAACAATTAAATAAAAAAACTATACTGTATAATTAATTAGTTTAAGCTATGTCATTATTTTTCAAATACATGTCATCATTTTTTTAATACATGTCATCATTTTAGGCCAATCAAATTAAAACATGTAAGAAGATTAAATAATTGTACTTCCTTTTTAATAGTAAGGGAATTTGTAGCCAATTCCAAAGACACTTTTATAGTGCCTGATGAGAGTCAATTAGCTTAACCGGAGAAAATCAATGTCGGTTATATGTCAAAAGATGTGGAGATGAAGAGTTAGTGTTTTTCCTAAAGTTGTGGGAACGTTCATATTGTGGTAGTTACTTTCTTTTAGTTTTTGTATTTAAGATGTTACAATGGTAAAATCATTATGAAGAGAAAATTGTCTAAAATAACGTGTTCTTGTTTGATCAACAAATTGGTTAGTTCTAATTGGGACTTATCAGTGCCCTACATGTCTTCTTGTTGAAATATGTAGATTTTTCTTTCAATTTGTTTGTATGTGGCAATATGTATTAAAATATTACCAAATATATGAGTTAATTAATACTTTACCTTAAAAAGTGGACGTGGAGCCAAAAACTATTGCTAATCCTCCCTGACACAAAAATTGAGAAAAATATTCCAACTCAGATCTTCAACGCCGGTGAAACCGTTGTTCACCGGCGTCGGATCGTTTCTCTTGCTGCCGATTATCTCTGTCTTTCTCTGTGTGTTATCGTTTGCTTAGCTTTGTTGGTTGTCTTGTCTTTTTCTCCAACCACCGTATGAGAAAAGAAGCCACGACGCTGGTGATCGGAGGTCTTACTCGCCCCCAGATCTGGCGATTTAGGCCTTTGGAAACCATCATTGGCTTTCCTCTCATCTCTGGTTCGAATCTCTTATCGGTGTCAAACCGAATATCTGTTTACCTCCGCATCTCAAATCTTCACCATCTGTCGATTGCAGTCATTGTTCCACTTCTCCTTACTGCCATCGACGTCTCTAGCTTGCGTTTTGTCTCGGACTTCACACCCGAAGAAATAACGAAGACAAAGCTTAATCTCTACTCTGCCGCCGCGTGTTCCTACGCTACAATCACACATCTCAGTGCGCGGCAGTTTCATTAGTCAAGATCTGGTAGATCTCGAACCTTCTCGGGTGTTCCTCGAAGAACCATCATTTCTCTTGTGGTCATTAACGCGCCTCACTATATACGACGATTCCCCGGGCTCTTAATAAGCACGCTCCGCCGCGAACAAATCCTGGCCACCCACGGAGGCCACATCTCTCAGCCCTACTGTTGTTTCCAATGCATCACGAGAAGACTAAAGCTTGGGCCTGGCCCATTGCGCGACTTGGGCTTCTTAGCTTATTGGACCTATCCTCCACTCATTCAAAGCCCACGTCTGTTTCCTCACGGTTTGGGGAGAGAACACCTTCATTATCATTCTCTTTGAGGAAGGGATCAATTCAATCATCATCCCAGTTTTGGGAAATCGATTGTAAAAGGTCAGCCTTTTTGGCATTAGTAGCTCAAAGATCGGTCCGCTCGCTTCCATTGTCAAAAGAAATAGGATTATTTTCGGTTTTCTGAAGCATCAAGATCGATTTCAAATCGATTTGTTCTAAGGGCGGCCCATATCTATGCAAATCAATACTTATATCTGCTTTTGAGCCCGCTGGCTTCTCTATCGTGAGAAGAACAATGTTTTCTGGATTTGAAAAGGCAAATCTTGTGATTTTTTTCCTTTGGAAGAGACTTTTCCCATATTCCTTCCTGTTCGGGAAGAGACACATTCCAACATTTCTTCTATCTTTGAGTGAAGATTTTTTCTCGGAAACAAAAACGAGCAATTACTCAACCGATTTGTATCTTGCGTAGCGGTCTGTACGAGGCCAGAAGATGCAACTGGATTCGCTTTGATGAATTTCGGAGGTTTGGGTGGTATTCCAACGTCACTGCTCGAAGTGATTAAATCTATGTTTTCCGGTTTAGCCGAGAACTTTATACCGATACATTCAGAATTGTTCTTTGATTCGCGGTCGTATAACTATGATATCTCTAATGCTTTAATTTCTAATGTTTTATTGTATTGTTGTATTATTGATGTAACCGGAATTTAAGATAATGAAACAAAGTGTAGCACACAAAAAAAATGATTTAATTAAAATCGCCACGAATAATTTTGTGATATTTTTGTGGCAAATTTCCCACAGTTTGTTACAAATTCGTTTGTTTGTAGTAAAACTGTAAGAAACAAAAATCAGCTACAAATTTTGTTTCGTAGCAATTAAATCAAAAGAGTGGCTAATGGTCACTAATTTTAATAGTGATGGATAAAGTTCGTTTTGAAAAGAATAAAAATATTTTTCAAGAAAAATAAAACCATCGTAGTTTATGCATGTCCGTGGAACCCAAAATTGACAAAAAGGGTTAGTTTATTCGACTAATCAACCATGGTAGATTACGGTCCAGAAAAGGAGCAAAGTAATTCAAAAAGACACGTTTTTTAAAGAAAATTAAATGGTTTATTTTTTTCTTTGTTGTAAAAGTAAATGTTTTCATATTCAGTCGCTTTACCCTACTTTTCTCTTCATAGTTCATTTACTATTAAACAACACCTAACTGCTTATAAATACAATTAAAATCAAGAAGACGTGAAGAAGATCCTCTCTCCATTAAAATCTATACATAAACATTCTCTCTTCCGTGTCGTAATTGTCATTCTCACACCTAAACCAATCTTCAAGAACGTAAAATATGTCCGATCACCAAAAAATCCATCCGGTGAGCGACCCGGAAGCTCCACCGCCGACGCATCCAACGGCTCCCCTTGTTACACGTGGCTCCTCAAGATCGGAACACGGTGACCCCACCAAAGAATCTCAGACGCAACCACCACCGTTGAAGAAGAGAGGAAGAAGAAGCTGTTGGTGCAAGTGCGTGTGTTACACACTCCTCCTTCTCTTTCTCCTTATCGTCATCGTAGGAGCCGTTGTTGGTATACTCTACCTTGTCTTTAGACCGAAATTACCGGATTACAATATCGACCGGTTACAGCTTACCCGGTTTACGTTTAACCAAGATTCGAGTTTGTCCACTGCGTTTAACGTGACCATCACCGCCAAAAATCCCAACGAGAAGATCGGAATTTACTATGAAGACGGTAGCAGAATTAGCGTCTTGTACATGCAAACCAGACTCAGCAATGGTACGTAACATGACTCTCGTATTTTATTTTGAAGGCCTATGCAAAGTTTTTATGAATTGTATACACATATATTCAATATTTTCTTAACGTAAAATTTGGCTTTGAAACGATGTTCAAATGTTCTAGCTAGTTGTATGTCTAAAACAACACTATACTATCTAGTTTTGTTTTGTTTAAATTGGCCAATGATCATAATCTGGACATTTTTAACGAACTAACCAGATTTTGTGATATTTACAGGGTCGTTGCCGAAATTTTACCAAGGACATGAGAATACGACAATTATAGTCGTAGAAATGACTGGTTATAGTCAGAATGCAACTGGTTTAATGGCGACAATGCAAGAAGAGCAGCTGTTAACCGGAAGCATACCGTTACGGATTAGAGTTACCCAACCGGTTCGGATCAAGCTCGGGAAATTAAAGCTAATGGAAGTAAGATTTTTGGTCAGGTGTGGTGTATCGGTTGATAGCTTGGCTGCTAATAATGTGATTAGGGTTAGAAGTAGTAACTGCAAATTCAGGTTTAGACTATAATCTCATTTCTTGATTCAAAATTAATTTAATATTTATTTATTAAAATTTGCAAAACAATATGGAGGGGGGTACATTTTTTATTTGTAGTTTTTTAATAAATATTTATTTCTCGAGATTCTAGAAAAAATAGAAAAAGCATTTCAGAATAAAGTTGACTAAAAAGTCATTTTCGTAAAGTTGATTGTTAAAAGTCTTACGATGAATTCGAATGAGAAAGTGAGTGGCAAAAACAAACGGTAAGACCTAGGATATATAAATTCATAATGTTGCCATACGAGACTCAACGATGGAATTTTGTCTTCTCATTATTGACCAGAAAGACATATATTGTTTAACTGTCTAGAGTAATTCTCGAGAAACATTTAAATTCTATAATTACAAAACATTCTCTTGGTCGGTAACTATTTTTCAACCAAAAAAAGAGAGGAAAAGTCGTAAAAAAAAAGGGTCAACACAAAGAGGCTTTCACGTCTCTTATCTTCCGGATACAAAGTTGAGCCTTTTCATGAAGCATTTCCACTCTATCGTTTCTCTTCGTGATCACTTTCTGAGCCATCTTGTTACTATTACTATTATTTTAAATATAATCTGTATAGATCATTAGCAAATGGAACATTGAGTTTGATTACAAGAGCTTTAGCAAACAGTTGTATTGCCCAAAAAGATAAAACCCGTCAGAGCTAAGTTGTGAATTTTGAATCTTAAGATCTTGAAAGCCTTA